TCTTACGACATAATCATTTATTACTATTTCATGTTGTTCAATGGACTAAATTGTATCCTCTTAGCGTTTTTCAAAGCAAAATAACAGTACTGTGGTTATTCTACGCTTTAAAATCATCATGTCCTGTTGGTCTTCCGTGACCCTGTTGATAACCTTTTCTAAGCATTGATTTATTGATCTTGGGTTGAGAATGTACCAAAATGTTCCAAAACAAAGTGTAATGTGCTCTACGTTGCAGTGTTTCCATTTAAAATTCCAAGATATAGATCACATATTATTGTGTATTAAATTGCTTGCCTTTGTATAATAGATACTGTAGATCTATTGAAGTAATTATTACGCATTACAAGGGTAGTGTGTACAATTTTCATTATTAAAAACATTGTAAATTATACTTGAAAATAATTCTAACCTGTACTATTGTTTTGAAGGCGATTAAAACAACCATGTGTACTATTTGTTAAGTTACTCGTGTAAATTTGTTTTTGGTGTAAACTGTACAATTTGGCGTTTATCCATTTCTCTCAGCGCTCATAAACATAGCGTCCTTAAAATATCAACGTAAATCTTAAAAAATAATGACAACTTTTAAGATGAAGTAAAGAACACATTTCTCTAGATAGTTTTCATTAATTTGAGCACCGAACTTTCTCAACGTTGTTTGCAAAAACCAGAGAAAATCATCTTTGTAGAAATATGTAATTTCTTAGGCTATTATAGACAGTATCTTATAGTAAAGAAATGTACTATTATAACTAGGGTTTGGTTTTGGTCATTTAAATCTATTAAACCTTATCTGGCCGCTAACTTTTAACATAATAATTACATTGAGAACAGCAGCTGGTCTCTAGCAATAACTCACCTTGTGGCAGGTTAAACACTCAATTTCTAAACATATCAATATTGAAATAACTTATTATAAAAGAACACGAAGCAGCCATGGAAACTGTTTATAATTGAGTTTTAACGAGCGTGTCGAAGTTCATGTTATTGGACATGCGTATGTCTTGCGTACCTAGACTTTTTGCCTTTGCATGAGAGAAAATTTCTTTCAGAGCCAAATCTGAAGCCTTACTTGCATTATCGACAAAGAGTAGGTAAATGCCTCTGTTGGTACAATTTTCCTTATTGTACACTGCATGACGTTGCCCGTCTTCATTAACCCAATAGGGAGTAGAACGTTTCACTCCATTCATCCATTTCATTTTGAATTCTAACACGTAAATACTCTTTGGATTCCAAAACTCTCCCAGTTCCGATGTCCATATACTATGCATAATTACCTCCCTTGAACCTGTAACAATGCAGATTTTATCTTTCGTCATCCGTTTTCCGCCAATGATTACAGCCCCATAGTTTAATTTTCGCATTGTTCGCATCAATATTTGTATTGTCATTGAAAATGAATCAATATCTATATTTCAGTGTTAAACAATGTGTTGTAATATGTGCAGTTAACATAATAACTGTGTGATGAGGTTATCCCTGCCACAATCCTTCCTCGTATAATATCTTCCTTCATTTACTTGTCGGATATATAACTTGCCATGGGTAGAAATAAAGACACCCCCCCCCCCCCCCCGCCCCCCCAGATAAATACACATTCACTTTGTCGGCTATAGAACTTACCTAGATCTAAGTCAATCAATTTCTTGTGAATTAATGTCAAGGATTGAGAAATATTATCTCAATCAGTGGTTTTCAACCTGTTTTTGAATGTGTCCCCAAATCGAATCAGCATGAAAATGATGTCCCCAAATATCGAAAGCGTATCTATGATTGGATACAAGCACTTTCTCACATAGTTTGATGGTAATAATTTTAACAATATTAATTTAGGATTTGTATAGTGTAGTCATCATATGAAATGTTGTATTTATTGTAGTTGACAAGTTGTGACTGGCTGTGACACATAAAATTTCTCCAAAGAAAAGTGCAAATGTCCCTATCTTGGTTGAAAATGATTTAAATGATCACCATTTTGAGAATTTAACCATTTCAAATATACACTGTTCTAGTATTATAAGTATATACCAGTACCGTTCTCCCATTCCATTTTATTTGACTCTAATATGGCATTACAGTAAATAAAATTCATCCATAACGTTATCAACAGTAGCATTCATTTTTTTTCTTGCAAAATTTATGACTAAAACGTTATCAGCAGCGATTAAGAAGAACTCATCTATCCATCTATTATAGTCCTATATTATTATACAAGTGACGTTATAAACTAAAGCTAACGTATGTTATTATATTCATATATTCATGAAATACTATAATTACCAAGTCAAGATTATGGTATATTAGCATTTATATCTTAGTAGTCGTCTTAAAATACATTCGTCTTAGAATACTGTAATATGGCGAGACAATAGAAATTCCAAAGGTTGACAAAAGCGCTAGACGCGTAGGGAGTTCTATTGTCTTTCTCTGTTGCAAGGATATAGGCTGAAGCCAGAGAGGTCGTGCAGTTTCACTTGCGAGAGATCTTGTGAAACGAGCAAAGCCATTAACTTATTTGTCGGTTATCTACCATCGACATTTTTAAATAGATACAGCCTGGTGATATGGGAGCTCACATCATATGACAACTGAATGTTCTAAATTATGAAGTCGGAACGATAAAATTTAATATTCCCGATTATGTTTTTTACTTCAATTACATGATAGCTGTTTATGTTACAGATTCCGTTTCTCAAAAATTATAAGTAATCCTTCGCCATAGGACAATAAAAAAGACTAAAAAATTAGAAACAAAAGATTTTATTATCGTTAAAGTCAGGGTTTGTCGCTTTGTTTTCAATGTGAAAAATGTCAAAATTCATCAGGAATTATCGAAATGACCACGAAACATTCCTGTTCCCAATGTCCTTATCCCGAGCCCTTATTTTGACGACCATTAAAATTATTTTCGCGTCTATAAACAGATAGATCAAATCAGATTGTCTTCTCAACCCATATGGCACAGTTCTTAAAAATTAAATCTACATTCATGAATGTTGAGTTCCTGGTCGTTCACATGGGAGCTTTAATTCCTTCTGATACCAACATTTCTAATGACGTTTCAAGGATAATGGTCTGACGCTGACTTGTCAATTAGCTGATTGATAGATGACAATGTAAGGTGTTACCGTCAAACTGTTACCATGTCAGACCAAAAAGATTAGTAGTTTACCAATGTATAAAATCCTCTCATTACTGACTTATCCACATGCAGAACGTTTCAAATTAAAATCAGAGTTTGAAAGGATCTGCACTTCTAATGGCAATTCCAATATACATCATATTTGCACCCCCAATTGTACCCCACTTTATTTTTTATGTAATCTAAAAATATGATTTTTACACGTTTTTCGCACCAAAATATGTGCCTCGACAGTTGTCCCCCTATTGAGTTAGTCTGTCCTCTATTTGTACCTCCAGTTTGGGAGAGTTGGTGTCGAGACTGACCCGACAGTGTAAATTGCAAAGGGTTATGGCTCTTTAATAATTAACCGCGGTAACGAAGAGATCTTCATTTTGACCAGCCACGGTATTTAAACTGAACACAAAAATTTGCGATACTGACTTAATAAAATATTAAAAATACATGAAAACGTTAAAATAAGAATTAAAATTACTCTGTGTAGAACGTTCATTTTAGCATTGCCACCACTTTGCAATAGCCAACGGTCTTTCAGCTTTGACTATTTATGTCATGTTGTGTGACCAGCTAGCGTGCAGAATGTTATTACTCTTGATTGTAATGATATGCAAATGAGCTCCACAATTCCATCTGTTACAAGTTTGTATTTAGCGATAATATGACAATAAATTCTTCTTTTAGTGTCTTTCAAGTCAACGTTCAGCACGATACCGGACAACAGAGCCGAAGTCTGGCCGAATTCATCCGAAGATTTCATCGTATTTGTTCAAAACCTAATCGCATGAGCTTACACATCTTTCCGAGATTTCATCGACCGCTTTTCTTTCTCTCCACGTGTGTGAGTGTGTGTCAAATATTACTATATACGACCTGACGTCTAAATACAAGCAGTCAGCGATCGAAACATTTTGTCACTAGCTTTCACGTTGAAAGCGGGAATTATTGGAAAACAACACGAGTCGTCTAAGCAAGTGTGGCGTTGAGTTGGACTTGCTTTCTAATTTTAAAGGACATTGGACAAAATGTGTTATTAGTAATGTTACCACGTGCAGTGCTTCATAATATCAGTGCATTTAAAGATTAGTGTAAATTCATCACGCGCTTTTCCTAAAATTCTGGAAATTTTCCTTATTTAAAATGTTCATTTGGATATGAAATAATTGCAACGTATAAACGCATATGGATGAAAAAATGGATACGAGAAATTCAATTTGGAATATATATTGAAATATTTGAATTTCAAATGTAGTTTTTATCGATTGGTATTTTTTTCAATATTCGCGTCGTGAATACTTTAAGATTCAATTTAAATAAAGCCATTTTTCAATTTGTCGACGGTGTTAAAAATGAAATGAGTTATTTAGGGTTAACGTCGATGTAATTACCGCATGGCGTTAACATTTATTCCACCATGTCGACAGTGCTTTCGAGGAGAAAAGCCAGTGACACTGGCATCGTTGTCAAATACTCTCCTTGTGCCAAAAATGAGCATACTGACGACGAAGAATTGGATGAGATAGCTATAGTTGATAGTATTGACAAAGATGAGGGGCAAAGTTCCAAGGATTTGGAAATCGTGGAAGACGGTGCTGAGCCTGCTACCACGGCCAACGGACCTCGACATTTACCGGGTCTGGGAATCTACCAGTCTCCGACAGATCGCACGAAACTTATAGGAGAACGACTTAGTTCTAGTGACAAAATCAGTGTCTCATCTCCAATATATTCCAATAAGGTTGTGGAACAGAAATCTAAATCTTCGTCTAAACAGAGCTTATTAGATCTCATGAGTCATAAATTCGACAGGGTGAAAAGTGGCAAAAAGAGGTTCTCCCTTGCCACTTCGTCACTTATGAAAGCCTCCAGACCCAGCGTTGCCAATGTGGTCACGTCGAGGGAAATTCGACGACAGCGAAAAAAAGATATTGAGGAAAAATTCGGTAAAAAGAGCGTTCGTAACGAAAAAATAGAAACCTCTACGACAACTTCGGATAATGACGGGTGTAACTGGACCTTTGTGTTTGACCCTTCAGGACGGTTGTGCTATTGGTGGACCTCCGTTGTTAGTGTGGCTTTTCTGTATAATTTCTGGGTGATCATTTACCGATTTGCATTTCAAGAAATTAATTCGGATAACATAGGTTTGTGGTTCACTTTGGATTATTCCGCTGATTTTCTGTATATATTGGATATTGCTTTCCGTTTCCGTACCGGGTATTTAGAGGAAGGTGTGTTACAGACCGATCCGGTAAAGTTACGGATCCATTACATGAATACGACCATATTTTACATCGATTGTTTGTGTCTTCTTCCTTTAGACTTCTTATATTTATCTATAGGCTTTTGTTCCATTTTACGGTTCTTCCGTTTAGTGAAAGTGTACCGTTATTGGACGTTCTTAGATCGCACTGAGCGTCACACGAACTACCCTAACGTCATTCGGACGCTAACGCTCATGCATTACCTATTGGCACTCTTTCATTGGAATTCGTGTTTCTTCTATGTAGTGGCAACTCGATTCGAACACGATCCCGAGTATTGGAAATTTCCTAAAAATACGAATGACACCCATTTACAGTATTTGCATGCCTTATATTGGAGTACCATGACGTTGACGACAGTGGGCAATCCACCCAACCCGCGTACAACTGGCGAATATTTTTTCACAATATTTGAAATGATATTTGCCCTGCTGTTATTTGCTACTGTTCTGGGACATATAGCTAACATTGTGACCAGTATCAGTGCTGCTAGAAAAGAATTCCAAGGTAAGCTGTTTTGTTCAAACAATTCATGCACATGTTTTCAGACTACAATCTTTCCTATTTCAAAAGTTTCACTTTCCAACATGACCTACATTACTAACCAATGACCAATTCGATTGTAAAGACTACAAGCAAATACCCGTGTAAATATCATTAACAGTCCAAAACTCCACTGTCATTGAAATCAAATTTTATCCATCACTAAGCATTTCATACCAAGCCCGAATGGTTAATTCTTCTTATAACATACTTAAAGAGCATTCCAACATTCTCAAACACTATGCTTTACATAATAAACAATACCAAACATTCACCACCATTATAAATTTATATTTTGAATTTAAATGCATTTTGCCTAGTGGACCATGTGATTTGGTTTTTAAATGTCTATATTGATCGTCAGTTGTGTAGAAATTTAAGGCACAATGGCTAATAAATAGACCAATTACTATACAAACTGTTACACATGACAAGATATCACTTTCCTACATAAAGCAATATGAATTGTATAATATATTATTGATGCGTTCCTCATCAATGAACAGTGCCTTACGTTAATTAGCTTACGATTTATAATGGCCGCAGAGTACTTCCAAGCTTTATCAAAGAAACAAATCAATCAATCCAATGAAAAATTCAATTAACATTGACATAACATAAGGCTATCAGTAAAGTCAGAAGGTTATACCATGCAAATTTTTGCGTAGGCATTCAATGAAACCAAATGTTACCCAACGTTTATCATGATCAAAGCCCAAAACATCAATAAGAGACAACGTGCTACCGTTTGAAATGCTTATGAGAGCAAGTCGCAACTCATTATACGTCCTCGTCTTTGTGAGGCGATCTAGTATGGTGGAATCAAATCTTTGTCAGTCTCATATACATGAGAAGAAGTGACAAACAGTGCTTTAGGCTCGTCCTCAACATCTTGCTGTTGAAAAATCCCCAACAACCATCGATTCTAGAAAACATTGCCAGAAGCACTCCAAGTATATATGCCTAATGACCCATATCTTATTTTTCTGATAACAGTCTAAGACCTAGTAATTATTTCCCTTTACGCTACGTGCCATCATCTTGACAAGGAAAGGGCATGAGTTGTCAACCGGAAGTGGGTTATCTGCTGACCATTTCCTGTTGACTGGAAATCTCTCGTCCTCTACGAAGAAGATCAAGGTCAAGGTAAATGGAATAATAGCTGTATACTCGAGACGACAAATAATTTAGGGTTTATAAGTGATATTCCTAAAGGCGGCTTCTTAAGCGACAGCTAATGATTACCTTGGTCCAGAGACCTATCATTCGTGCTTTTAGCAGAGTTTGTAGCTCTAGGTCGATAAAGTCATTAACATTGTATGTTTTGCCTGAGATATTTTTTGTGCAAGAGTATAATTCAGCAGTGATTCAAGATGTTTTATTGAAACGGCGAAAATATTAATTTGGGCACGTCTTTTAACGATAATCGACCGGGTCTTACTGAACATTCTAGAGCAAAATCCACGATGCCGTCTGTTTAACCAATTCAGGTCGCTGAAATTTGAAAAGTGATTAACGTAGAAGCACAATCCCTCGAGAACCTTAATTCATTAAACCAATGACCTTAAAGTGCTCTTCTTCCGATCATTCAGACCGAGTTTAAATTTAATATAAGAAACCAATCACATTAATGCATTTCCTGAAATCTGGATTTTTTTGCAAAATTTTTTGAATAGGTTCGCAGTTGAACATTTCGATGTTCATAACTTAATTTAGCAGATGATGAAGATATACCACAGAGTAAGATAAAAGCTCGGTTGGTCAGATACCAGATAAAGCCGAATAATTGTTATAACCTATCCATATCTCGTGAAGTGTAGAGCCATATGTCATGTTAACCCATATTTTTGATTTGTAGACTGGAATAAAATGTCTCGTGTAAACAAGAATATAAAGAAGCGCTGATAAGAATTTATGCCAAACAGTTCGAGACATTACAAATTTTTACAAGACGTTGACATTTAAACAGAATATCATGGCAGTTGCGCCCTTGAACGATTGGAGTTAGCCATTGGCTGTTTCTATGTTACTAATATGTGTTGGCGTATTAACAAACTTATCAGTATGACAGAATTTGTTCGTAAGAACAAGAATATATGCGCCAATATATGCGCCAACTCATTATTCTCAATTATTCTAGCCATAGATTTCTATTTGAGGTTGTCGTCAGAAGTTGAGTCAATTGATTAGGAAGACGGGCAAGCAATTTCTATTTTTCCCATTGACCATCAAACTACATCTAAATTTACAGTGGAGAAATTCTAGATTGCAAGAGGACATCCTATAACATAATAATCAATCTATCAATAATTTGATTTTTAACATTAAATTTCAACTGCTAACTTTCAGAGTCTATTGTAACTGTATATCATTTACGATATAAGACCCAAAAGCGGCCCACATCACCAATATTTGCCACCACATTCTTACAAAATATCTAGGCATTGGTGTATGACTATTATTTGAATACCTTATAGAGTTTACATACATGACATTCTCCGAATTCGTATTATCAATTTATAAACATGTCTGAAGAATGACATATCTATAAAGTGGCATAGCGATCTAGAGTTGCGTGAGGTCATAAATTTCGAGCGCAACTCTCATGCTCCTGAGTTGCTAGTTGCTTTAGGAACTAATGGCCACATTATTCGCAACAATAAGCAACTGGTAATCATTTTGGTGTGGGCGCGCTTTAAGGGAAAATGTCTTTAGTAGCATTAACATTAATGATAAAAAAAAGTAAAATGCAAAGCATTAGTATCAACAATATATGGTATAATACGACAGGAAATTAAAAATCCACAGGTCAAATTGGTCTCCTTCATTTTACAAGCTTTGTAATCTCCATAATTTCATACTAATACTCAGGTTTGTAGACATTGACAAATGACATTTGTGTAAGAAAATGGAAATATTTCATGATTTGAAAATAAAACTGATTATTCGTGTCCCACTTGGCATCGATAATGATTTTGAAATCAGATTTCTTGACATACTGAGTCATTAAAATTGGATTGTCTTTTTAACATCAATGCTGATTTTAAATACATTGTACTACTTAAATTGTTTCAGTTGCAGAAAGACAAGATGGGTCAATAGATGTGTTCAGCACTCGGTGTTCTCAGTTGGTCACCCATCCATGTACGTCACTTAAGTTCAATGATCGGACGAGAACATGTGTTTTAAACGTAGTATGGACGTAGCCACTATATAAGAAAGTGGGTCTTTTTCACAAAACAAGGGAAAGTGTCTTCAAAAAAGAGTCTTTGTTGTTCCCAGGCGGTCACCATGTTGTTTTACTTCAGTGATCGGACGAGAATTGGTGCTTTCAATGTGGTATGGCGGTAGACATTTTTCTTGAGTCATATAATATGTACATGCATTTGTATCTCGACTTTTTAATCATGATTTTAATATTGAATAATTAGTTCATGACCAGCTGATCACAAGGATTATTCCTCATTATATATTTTGTGTTTTGTCATCAATACAAAATAAATATGCCACATCTTAATAAAAAAAAAGCTTGCCTTAAGATGAGTTTCAAAAAAATCGCTAAGAACAAGTTGATTTAAGTCTCGAAAATATGTAAAAGGTCTTTCGAAGTACTGATTGACTAATCCAAAAATTCCCGTTTTAAAAAATAGGTACTTCGAATCGAACGAATTTTGACATTTGGTCATAATGTAGCTATCAGGTGGCAATAATTTGCATCTGTTCTTGTTGCTTAAGTCTTTAGAACATTGACAAATGCAAATATCAAGTGAATACATATTTTATATATGCCACGAATAAAAGCAAATGGAAGAGTATTTGTGTGAAAAAAATATTCACGATTCTGTTGCTCTTATGTATTCTTAATCATATCATTATGTTCTTATTGCATACAATTAATAGTTTTAACCAATCATAAATGTCCATGTGTGTACAGTCTGGATAAACAAAACAAGAGACTTTTTTACTACCTTTTTTGAGCGGTCACTCATTGTAATTCTGTTGGTAATTCTCTTCAAATTTAGCTACTTATGAATTAATTATGGACATGTGAGACAAACTGGTATTTATCCAAGTCATTAGAACACGTCTACTTTCTATTCATATAAGTATTAGCATTTTCATTATCATAAATGAGAATAAGGGAACCTATCTCTAGTATTGATTACTTTTTTGTAGCTTTTTAGTCGAAATCCAAAATTATATTCTTCATATTGAAATTTCTTTCCGGATTTTTGTCCATCAAATGACATATTAGTTTGGCTTCCAATATACACTGATAATATTAAGAAATATAACTCTAATAGATTTCAAAGAAGTTTTTCCTGAGTTAACTCTGACAAAATAAAGTGATTAATGTGACATTTAGGAATAAAGTAATTGACACTGGTATTATGAAAATTGTGCTTTGTGGAAACATATTCACTGTATAATGCAATTTACTTTGATGTACTGGTAAAGCCAAACAATTCATTACATAAAATTCAGTTAAACGCCTTACTTTTCTGCACTGATTGGTGTAAAGAAGACCAAGTAAGGGCAATAACCTTCTATTTGAAATTTTACTTGTAGAGATCTTCAACATGCACAGCATGTATTCAACCAGACCATGTCAGTCCGCCTGACCTTGTATCACCAACGTGTTGAAATGATCAAGTTGAAAAATGCAAAGCTGTGATCTTAACCCTTGTCCAAAGCTTGTTTACAGTTTACACATATAACAGATTAACGGATAACCATTTAATAGTATTGTATTATGAAGATTTAAGTTGACCTTGTTTTCGCAGTTAGATATTGAAAGACTAGCAAGCTTTAAGTCAACAAAATCATAGAAATGTATAGACAATGGTAACCTTTAACATTATACCTTATTAAGTGCATTTTTTAAAGAAAACTTTTATGGCTCTTTGACTTTCAGAGTGGAGTATGAAGGGTTGAATTAAAGAGTTAAGAAATATTACGTGATATCTGGAAGATAACGTCTCAGTTTGATCACCTACAAAAGTAAAAGATTTTAAAAAGTGGTCCTTGAATTTGAAATCCTAAATTGACATTGGAATTAAGAGAATGA